CTCTTTTTCATCTTCAGAAATACAGCACATTAATTGTCTAAAGGCTTGTTTTTAATCTTTATTTATCATGCTATTTGGGCCACCTTGCTGATATTTGTAGTACCATCCAGTCTTAAATTGTGTGTGACCCAAATTAATTATACAAATCCTGAACATGGGTATAGTTTGGAAGGGAATGGGGGAATGTTGCCCCCACCCTAGATGGCAAGCCTTAAGCAAGTGTGAATTTTGCCCCCACCTGCGGCCCCATTGGCCTGACTGGCACTGATCCTCTAAATCAGTGGTCTCCAACCTTTTTAAGCACAAGATCAGTTTTTTAATGTAAGAGGAATCCAAGATATACCTCAAACCCAAATACCCTTGCCCCGCCTCTTTTGTGCCTCTTCTCCGAGGCCTCGTCCCTGCTCATTCCATCCTCCCTCCCTCCCCCATCCTCTCTCAGTTTCACTAGGCTGGTGCAGAGGGTTGTGGTGCAGGCTCTGGTCTTGGATTAAGGGATTGGGAGTGTGAGGGGCTCTGAGCTGAGCTTGTGGCAGGCAGTTGGGGTACTGGAGGGGGTTCCAGGTGCAGGGTCTGGGGGTATATCTAAACTGCAGAGTTTTTCAGAAAAATGTCTGTTTTTCTGAAAAACTTCACTTATGTCCACACTACAACCTCATTCTTTTGAGAAAAAAAAAATCAAAAGAACAGAGGGGTTATTCCAACATTGGTAAACCTCTTTCTACGAGGAAGAAGCCTTTTTCCAAAAGAGTTCTTTCAGAAAAAGGCATGTGAGAAGGGAAGTTCTTTCGAAAGAAGAGGAAAGAGCAAATAGCACAGCTGCCCTGGTGGTTACTTTGCCCATAGTAATCACAGCTTAAATGCGAGATCACGTCCATTCAGTGTGGACGCTATCTTTCGAAAAAGCAGATCGCTTTTTCAATGTGCTTTGTCTGTGTGTACATGCTCTTTTGGAAGACATTTTTCAGAATCTCTCTTCTGGAAAAACTTCTTCCGAAAGAATCCTGCAGTCTAGACGTAGCCTGGAAGCGCATGTGGAAGCAGGGGTGCTCAGGAATAGGGCAGGGGTTTGGGGTGCAGGAGGGGATCCACGACTGGGGTAGGGTTTCAGGATGTGGGCTCCAACTGGGCCCTACTTAGCTCAGGTGACTCCTGGGTGATGGCACAGTGGGCCTAAAGCAGGCTCACTCCTGCCCTGGCCCTGCATCACTCCCAAAAGCAGCTAACAACTCCCTCCATCTCAAGCCCTGTTGTGCCCCCTGCTCTGTTCTGTGCAGATAAGATACAAAGGGGGAGGGGGCACCCTGATGTCAGCACTCCCCTTCCCTCCCCTGCCCTGCCCAGCAAGCTGGGGAATCCCGAGAGGAACAACTCCAAGGCAAAGGGCAGGAGGTGCGAAGCGGTCAGGAAAGGGGCAGCTGAAATGCCAGCACTTAATAGCCTCTTGGCGAAACCAGTCAGGATCACCTGTCAGAGGCTCCAAGATCTACCAGTAGATCCTAATCTACTGGTTGGTGACCACTGCTCTAAATATAGAAGTCGAACTATGCTTATGCTTACTAATGCAAAACTCCCAAAGAGTGTAGTGGGAGTTTTGTCTTAGGATGGCAAGACCAGACTCATAGTAGTTTCTGAAAGATGGGGCAACCCACAATTACTGGAACTGCAAAGTAGCTCCATGTTAAGTATACCAAACTTGCTTCAGCATTGCTTCATTGTCTGTTGATAATGATGCACTTAACTCAGATCACTGGTTATATAACATGCTACAAATAAAGAGCTTTGGAAAAACATACATTCCAAGTGTGAAATTTTGGCCCCATTGATTTTGATGATGAAGCTCTCAGGAAAACAAAGCTCTCTGTGTTGTAAAATCTTTTGAGTCCTTTTGCAGTCAAAACTTCCCTTGTATTTAATCAAATTTAAACGCATGAAATGGTCTGCAAGATCAGGCCCTTAAAATTTTGCTGTTCCTGAAAAGATTAGTATCTATAGACCCAGTACTCCAAAATCCAGCATATCTATATTCTAGCTTGTCAGCATGTAAGACCTTTTATCCAAAACATGTTGAATGATCTTTCCAAATCTGAAGTGAAATGTTACTTTTATCTAAATTGCTTTTCCCACTCTACCTTGAACTTCATGTATTTGAGTACACAGATATAAATTCCCAGATAAATTAATGCATTGGAGAGAGTTCTGATTTTTTTGTTAAGTCTTAAGGCTGTGCATGGTTTGCCTGTGTTTTTATTGTAATTTAATTATTTAATTTAAAATGCAATTACTGTTGAAATTCCACTTTCTTCACATATATAAAGGGAAAAACGCCAGTTTTATGGAATTGTTTTTCCAGTGGTGATAGAGAACTGAGTACAACTATGACCACATATATACATGATCTTACGCAAGTAGTGTGTTAGCCTTTAGAATCAATCCTTACTAGTGAAATTATAGAAGCTTGGATGGTCAACAGACTCCAAAGAAGATAATTACAACTTTATCAGGCTGTGCTCAAGTAAATACAATCGCTGCCTGAACCCGGTAATAAATTGCATTGATCACATAGGTTACCGAATCTCTTATTGGTATCAAACAAAAGACATTATATTTTGACAGTGGTCCCTCCTTTGTCAGCTTCTGGAATTGTTGTACTGTGCTACTTTGAATGACTCATTTAATAAATGTGTGTACATTTTAAAGATGAATATTATTACAATCCATGTAAAATATTTGGACCATTTTAGAACATTTAATTTTAAAGAGCAACTTCAATTAGGTAATATTTCTTAACTACAATCATGATAATATTATCAATATTTGTTTGTTGCAAGGCTTTTGCTAAGTACACCAATCATACAAGAGTGTCATATGCAATATTATGTGATCAGTTACTGCGAGTTTGGCAGGAGCAGTGAAGAGAACAGTCTAGGGGTGAAATCCAGGCATTGGAGTCAATGGGGGTTTTCCATGTTTATTTTATTAAGGTGCCATTCCTTTGTAGACTTGGGTTCATTAACATTGTTGTGCTTGTGCAAGGAGATATAGATTAAGTGAACAATCTTAGTTTTTAATCTGATAGCATATTATTGATCTTGTCACACAGGACTAGTACTCAGAACACAGTTATGTGTGGCTAAAATATTATGTGATTATATGTATTATATAACAGTAGGCCTGGCTTAACATAGTTTCTTGCTTCATTTCTTAGTGAGCATAATTGGGCAAATGAATGGACAGTTAAGTTGTAAATATTAATTGGTAAACAGTTAGGCTGCGTTAGCTAAAATAAGGTGCAGCACCTGGATGCTAGGGAATATGGATCAGATAAATATAGAATGTAAAGATCAGATTCCAGGTGAACAGGAATTGATTACTGCAAAGTAATCAAGCCAGTTCAAAAATGTGTAGTCTAATGCACAGCAAATGCAGTCTGACATGTAAATAAAGGAAGAAGTTCTCTGTGTAATTTTGGATGTGTGCGGTATGCCATATCCTATACTCAAGTCTGATCAACTCACAATGGCTACGTCTACATTAGCAAGATTTTGTGCAAATACTTTTAACGCAAGAGTTTTTGCATTAAAGGATTTGCGCAAGAGAACGTCTACACTGTCATGTGCTTTTGCGCAAAAGCATCCATGCCAGTGTAGACGCTACCTTGCACAAGAACGCTCCAATGGCCATTTTAGCCATCGGGCTTTCTTGCGCAAGAAATTCATGTTGCCTGTCTACACTGGCCTCTTGCACAAGAACAGTTGCGCAAGAGGGCTTATTCCTGAGCGGGAGCATCATAGTTCTTGCACAAGAAGCATTGATTTCACACATTAGAACGTCAGTGTTCTTGCGCAAGAACTCCCCACCAGTGTAGACAGGCAGCACATTTTTGCGCAAAAGCAACTGCTTTTGCACAAAATCATGACAATGTAGACACAGCCCATAGGTTTGCTGTATTGCAATGAAGGGAACCTGAGTGATAAAATCTAGAATTAAACTGAGTGTATTGGATCTCAGAAGTGAACAAAATGTTCTGGATAAATCAAATGGTAACATTTGGGAGGAAATCTCAACAGCAACATTATTCATTTCAAACAACAAATTGGAATTAAAAGGGAAGTTATAGCAACCCCCCACTATTTAGCATGTGTAACTGTTCAGTACATATTTTCCATATCTGGCACCACACATACTATGAGAGGGCCCCTTAAGCCTTATATAGAAGGAAAGCTGTCCAACTATCTCAGTCTTTAATAAAGGGACATATTTCTTCAACTGCATTCCCTTGCTATGCCTTTCTCGTGTGAGGGTTACAGGTACAGATGAGGGGAGTTTCAATCCTCATTCAATGAGACTGACAGTTGACTTGCATAATATACCACACCCAAAGCTTCCTGAGTTTATTTAGGCTATCAGTTTTTTAACCAGGAATTGGAAAAGCCACAATGCACAGAGGGTACCTGCAAAAGTTGAGACATAAACATGCATAACACAAGAAACTATAATGTTCTGGCTGCTGAGGCGATGCTGCAAACCCATGCTCTGCAATTTTGGTATCATGGGGAGAATTGCTTCCTAACCCCAAAATGCCATTGAACTCACTAGAAAAAAAATATCCAGCACTAAATACATTAAGTAAATCACAGGGTGGAAGGAACAGTGGATGTCAGATATGGTAGTCAGTGTAACAGATTCTCAAATTTCATTGTGATGATAAAATTTACTACAAAAGCCTGAGCCCTGTTATCTACGGGTACAGCTAGACTACAAGTTTTTGTCGGAAAAAGGTATGCAAAATGGATTCCACATTCTGCGTACCTTTTTCCTATTCTTTTGTTGGAACAGGCTTTTCCAATATTTGGCCCATCTAGACTGGAACCAAATGTCAGAAAAAACCCTCTTTTGGATACCTCCTTCTTCCTCTGAGAATGAGGAATACAGGGGCTTCTGAAAGAGAGCGTTTTCTTTTCCACAAAAAAAAGCGGAAGAGCAAACACATTCCCTGGACGCAGTGGAATTTTATCAGGATATTGGAGGTATCCTGAAACCCCCCACAGTCTACCCATACCCTAGGGCTGAAGCCCTTCAGTTTCAACTTTGTTCCAGGACTCTAGGTCTCAGGCTTCAGCTTCAGCCCTGTACAATGGGGCTCGAGCTTGCGCTTCCTCAGTATGTCTCACACCAGTCCTGATGACCTTATTACAACTGACTTTGGGGGTCCCAAATTAGTTTGAGAACTGCCGATTTAGGAGAACAAAGAAATCCCTGAAGTAATGAGAAGTCCACTTCTTTAGTTGTTGGACACTCCTGCCCCACAACAGCCAATCAGAGGCTGCTGGGCATTCACACATCTTCCACCATGACAAGGTGAACAAGAATGTAGAGCAAGGGAGGAGAACCTCCAGATTCTCAACATCCTTGACCAAAGCCCCACTTATGTCTGGCTGACCAGCTTGCACTCCTATCCCTAAGAGCAAGGCGGGTGTTTTTTGTTGCCCTTTACCATTCAGAATAACATTTTTTGCCAAGATCTCCATTTTGTAGCCTCATGTTAAACTGTAAAATGTATATTTCCATGGTTTTCATTACCACATCATTTATTGGAAGACTAAAATTTATCTCTTTACATGACCCGTCACCATGGTATCAGTATGTTATTAATCACTAGGATGTCTCATATTAATTCTCCTATTTTGACTTGTGCTCTTCCTGTTCACAGGCTGTGGGCCTGCTAGTCTTGAAGTGAACTTTGGTGAGAGCAGGATCATACTCTTTATTGCTTCCCTTATTTTTTATGACTTTTCTCAGTTCACTAAGTCTCCATGATAGTTTCCACATTCATATCTGGTTTCCCCCCCCCACAGTTTGTATGTGGTAGTATGTATACTTACCAACATGTTGGCAGAGAACCAACAGATGGAAAATGTTTAAAGTGAGCATGTGGCTAGTTTTGAGCATTGTCATTAAAACAACTGGCTTTCCCATCCAGAGCTCAGTATTGATAAACACAGCACAGACTGATATGCATCTAATATTTCCGTTCCTTCTTAAAACAGAAAATCAGATCTTCATTTCCTGGTATTTATGCCTAGTCAACAATGGATATTTTGAAGCAATGGATTGTGAGTGTTGAATGTTTCAATGTATCTTTTTCTGAGTTTCTTAGCTATTTCTTAACTAATTTGGCTCCCACTTTTAAAGGAGCAACGTACCACATCAACTATCTTAGCTGGCTTCAATAAAGAGTGTTTGGAATTCAAAATAACCTGTCCCACGGGGTATGCTTGCTAACAAATTTCCACTAATTGACATTAAACTGGTTAATTTCCATATAATAAGTGTTGACTGATTCAAGGGCTTGACTCAACTGACTAAGAGTTTCCTTACAATGCTCACATACAGGCAACCTGTTTGGAACGCAAGAGTGCAATATTTAAGATCTTGCCAAATTTCAAAGATTCTGGGACTTAGAACAGTGTTTTTAATCTTTAGCTCTTTTGGCTACTAATTATGTGGCAGAGGTATAAACTGGGTTTTGCAAATCATTATTTCCATTAGAAAGGTGTTGGAAGCAATTCCACTGAGGATTTCCCTCCTATTTTTGCAGCTGTTACTCCCGAGGGAGGAGGCCATTGCGGTCCTGGCTGAAGCATGGGCTTCTGTTCTGTTTCCACAGCACTTGGAAGAAAAACAAAATAGGACTAATGAAAAACACACACGGGAAATGCTTTATTATTTCATCATCCTCACCTACTGAGATCTGGCACCACTCTGTGTTTAGGAAGAACTCCTCCCGCCCTCTCACTCTCTCAGAGTATGGTTATATAAGGCCGACACTCTGTCATTTCCTGTCAGATCATTTAAGAGGAATTTGCTCTTATTTCCTCCCAGCCTCATCCTGGCCTCAGCATTGGCTACATGCCCCAACACCCATGCTGTGTTTACTTAACCACATGGAGTGCTGGGCAGGCTATGCTAGAAGTTCTGGGGCACCATACAGCCATGTTAGTGAGACATTGCAAAACTTACCCTTCTGTTCTAGAATTTATATCTCTGTAAGGAAAACACTCAGGGTCCAAAACAAACTTATCCACAGTTTACTCAGATTCGTTGTTGGTGGGTTTAATCTTATACACAACATTCTGACAAAAAGGTCATTCAGCCAAAATCAGACTTCACTGGATTTTAGGCATATCAACAAAGCTCCTCAAGATATGCATCTTTTTCTTGATAATTATAGCTGATCAAACATGGATAATATGTGTTAAACATATCTATACATTTTTGGATTCAAACAGCGTTACTGACCAATTAATCTGACCATTTAAAAAACCAAATAAAATTAGATATTTAAATAGACTGAAATTAAATTGTAGAAATACTTAAAAACCCGATGAATTTATAAAAATAAACCAACTGGCAATGGGACATTTATACTTAACAAATGAGGTTATTCAGTGCTTAGAGTGGTCACAGTTGGGTGCCTTAAAAAAAGATTTAAGTTACTAATAATCTTCATACTAAGATTTATGGTAAGGGAAGGAAAAAGGTAAATTATCTGACTGAGGAGTCATTTCTTCCTTGTCTGGAAGTACAGGATTTGTTTAAAAGCTGTTAGGAAAAGTCCAATTAAAATAATTTCTGTCAGAAAGCTAGGATATATGTAGCTCCGGCCCCAGTTCAGTGGTCTTCATCTGGAATGACAAATCTTTACTTAATTGGTACTTAATATGGTTGTGTGGGATTGGTGGTTCTCCAGGATAAAAGAAGATGGGAAATAGAAATCTCTTGCTGAGACTTAAAACAGTGGAAATTAGATTAATAAGTACTTCCCTCTGAAGTATATAAATCAGCAGTCATGATTTTCAACATGGCTTATGAAATACTAGGTAATTAATGCATTTTATGAGATCTTTTAAATGGCAGTTAAACACAAACACCTATCTTCAATGGAGAAAGAGAAACTAATTCCTACCATTCCATTTGTTCATTCAGTGTGTAGAGAGGGTCTCGAGCAGTAAGATCATGTAATCATTGCACATCTATGAGATTCTGTACTTCTATTGCCTGGAGACTTCCTAGTGGATCTGTGACACCAGTTGAGATCTGAAAAAATTATAGTTGCCCTATTGATATCGTTTTTACATTAATTTATTTTACTTTATCGCTTTTAATAAAATGCATTTAAACATAATAGATTCAAACAAGAAAATAGCATGCAACATTTCCATTGGCACAGTATAGGTTTTTTAAATATAATAAGATAGCAACAGAATTTTTAGAAATCATCAGTGGTCATTATAAATACTTAAAACTGATATTAGAAAAAGTTTTGATAGCCAAAATAAGAACACACCATAAATTCTAACATAGGTGGAACCTCTCTAGTCTGGCACTTTCTGGTCTGGCAACATCCGTGGTCCAGCATGATTTTAGTTAGCTGGATGTCCACTTATTGTGGGTGTGGGTCAGTTTCCTGCAGTCCCATATTGTGTGTTTACAGCCACCAGTCTTGGCTCTCAGTGTTCTGTGCTGTTATTTTGCTGTAATTTACCTCTAAATGTCTGCTAAGAGCCCAGTAAGCAGTAGAATTGTTGGTAATGCTCCTAGACAATAATGACTTCCTGTGGTTTGGCAAATTCTCTGGTTCGGCACCTGTCAGGTCTTGAAGGTGCCAGACTAGAGAGTTTCAACTGTAGTATCAGAGGCATGTCTCTCTGTGTTTAAATATTTGCTGCCAATGTAATATTACAGCATCATTATACATGTACAGGACTGGATTCTGCTATCTTTAATCACACTGAGTAGTACTTACCAATAAAACTTCCTATTTAAATGAATGGACCAGCAACTCGACCTGAATAAGAGTTGCAGAGTCTGACCCATAGCAACTACTGATGAATCAGGTCATATAGTCTTCCTCCTACTGTACTAGTACTTTATCCAGTTTCAGATGTCCTAAGAGATGGGACCCTGCATCACTTACCATGGAGAGTTTATTACACAGTTTAATTGATCTCATTGTCGGAGTGTTTTTCTTGATATTCATCCTAAGCTTTTTATCTTATCTCTTATTATATTTACTCTGATGCTCTATTATTTAATTTCATACCACTGTTAGTCCCACTCATTTAGGCAAGCTATATATATGGAGCACTCTTGGTCTTTCTTCATATTTCAGTCCTTCTGGGTTCTCCTAGTAATTAAGGTCAATCAAAAATATTTTGTGTTTTCAGTGAATTTGTTTGTTTTTGAATTGAAAAATTCAATTCCACAGAAAACTGAATGCAAGTATAACATGTTATTGCTGGATAACATTGAGCAAATAACTTATAACCCATTTTTTATTGGATGTAGTAAGCCTCTTTTTCTGATCATGGCAAATCCCTTAGTTGACAGTGATTGTCTTGAATGTATTCAACAACTCTTTTTACCTCAATGACCTGATCGAGAACAACTTTGCTGAGAGTACTCACTACTTGATAGTCAAAATCTTAGCTAAGTGGCTTACTTGTGATTTGGCAGATAAGCCCTATCAGTCTTGCCCTCTTTGTATTTATGCCAAAATCATCATGGTCCTAGAGGAGAATCTTAAAATAAAGCAAAATAGGTGATTTATTGCCAGACAGTTATCTCAGTCATCTGCGCCTGTAATAGAGTGTCTAATCTCTGAATGGATGAATGTGCAAGGCGAAGGGGAGAAGAATTTATTACTGGAGTATAGAGGTACCTGAAGGGATTTGCACCTCCTCACAACTTCATCTTGTACTGAGATTGGTACAAGCCATGAGAGAAGTTTCCTGGAAACAAAGTGCAGTCTACACAGGGGTTTAGATTGGTATAAATACGTCATCTAGGAGTGTGGATTTTGCATACCCCCTGAGTGACCTAATTATACCAATATAGGTCCATAGCATAGACTAGACCTCAGATAAGTATTTGAAACACTACATGACCAAAGCTAAAGATCAGATTTTTTTTTTTAAATATTTGCTCAGTGTTGATAGTATGCTAAGTACCAGGAAACAGAGTTCCTATTCTGAAAAGCTTCCAAATAACTATGATCTAACTTCTTTCTGGCATTTCGTCCATTATGCCTCTTAGCAGCCAAATTCTGATGCATATTATTTTCTTTGGGTATGTCTACACTGCAAAGTTATTTCAAAATAACAGCCATTACTGCAAAATAACTTTACTAGTGTCTACACAGCCAAACCGCTATTTTGAAATTAATTTGAAATAGCGGAGTGCTTATTTCGAATTTGGTAAACCTCATTCCACGAGGAATAATGCCAAATTTGAAATAGCTATTTCGAAATAAGTGCTGTGCTCCAGCCTTCCCAGGGTGCTCTCCAGCCTCAACCAATAACACTCCTCTCCCTCCCCCCTCCCCAGAGCCCTTAAAGGGGTTGACTCTGGCCACAGCGCCCAGGAAAACTTACTCTCCTCTCCCCCAGCCCCGGAGCCATTAAAGGGGTAGACCCTGGCCACAGCGCCTGTGCCAGCTCCAAGCCTGCCAGCCCAGAGCCAGCAGTCACTGCCCCTGACCAGTGGCCCCAAAACATGAGCCAGCAAGCCACTGGCAGCCAGCCCCTCCACCGCTCCCCAGGAGCAGGCTGCCAGCTCCCAGGAGTCTGCCAGGGCCCAGAGAAGACGGGCGTCTTCCTGGTCCAGGGTGGAGATCATGGATCTTATTCAGGTTTGGGAGGGATGCCCCCAATGTCCATGATTTCCTCACTAGATGGAGGAACATGGCTGTCTATGATAGGATAGCTGCCAGCCTGGCCACCAAAGGCCACATGTGAACCCAGGAGCAGGTTTGCATGAAAATCAAGTTGGTCCAGCGAGACCCCCAATTCTGAGCCCTGAGCTTCTCCTCCCCCTTCTTCCCCTTGCTTCCCCCTTCCAGCTCCCTCCTCCCAGGTTTTCCCCTCTCCAATCCCACCCTCTCTTCTCCCCTTTCCCACCTCCTTTCCCCAGTCTCACCAGAGTTTTATTCCCCCCCCAACCCAGTTTTGTTAAATAAAGAGAGTTTGTGTTCATGAAAATTCGTGTATTTTATTTTACATCAGGAAGGAGGGTTACAGAGGGGTAAGTGGAAGGACGTGAGGGAGGAATGAGGCACAAGCCTCCAGTGGGGCAGACCAGGGAGGCTGTTAGTGCTCCTCAGGGTGGAAGCTCTCCTGCAGGGCCTCCTGGATACTGACAGCTCCCCACCATGGACATCCCAGATGGCAGCCTGCAGAAAGTGCAGCCAGGTTCGCAGCAACACATCCAAGAGAAGCACCAGAGTGCCTGGGGCAGCTCTGGCTCCATGTTGCAGAGTGCTGTGGTGTCCCGAGTGAGGGCAACCAGAACATGCAGAGATAAAATGTTTTGCTGTCCCTCAGCGAGGTAGACAAGCAAGCAGGGAAAGCTGAGAACTGGCTGTCCGGGGGCGGGGAGGGGTCCCTTTAAGCACAGGCCTCAGATAGCCTCAGACAGGAGCCACACAAAGAACTCCTGATCTGATGCCCTGCCGGACCTGGTTCCAGCTGGCCTTAAATTTGATTCGGTGTCCACTCAGTTTGGACGCGCTATTTCGAAATAGCAAAATGCTATTTCGAAATGCATTTTGTGTGTAGACACATTATTTCAAAATAACTTATTTCTGATTAACTATTTCAAAATAACGCTGTTGTGTAGACATACCCTTTGAGAAAAGTGATTCGTGGCAATGTTTGGTAAGCATTCCAAATTCACTATACCAGAATATGTGCACATACATTGTGATGACTCATGTTATTTAGGAATCAGTTTTGCACTCTGTCTAGTTGAGGCTTGGTGGTGCTATGCTTTAAACAGAGTAGTATTCAATCTTGTTACACCAGTATAAGATAGAATCAAGCCTTGTAGGAAGTCTGGTTAGGCACATTTTATATGTTGGCTATAAAGACATTACAATACTTCAAATTTAATGCAAAATAAGATCCATTTGATTACTTTCAAATAGGAGAATGCTATATGTACAGTAAAAGTATATTGCTTCAACAAACTTGTATAGGGACTTGTTTTCATTAATTCTGCCTTGAATACAATTTAAAATAGTTTTCTTTTTTGTCTTCCTGCCCTTAACTATTCCTCTTCAGTGTGAAAATTCCACTGCCTACATTTGATGTCTTCATCACACTGGAATGCTTTTAAACTTAATGAAGAGTTGCTATAAATCAGTACATTTCATTCTGCTTTCTGTCATCTACACATATATATTTTCTTTGGCATTAATCCCCTCAGAGGTTCTTATAAAACAGTAGCACAAGCTAGAAGTAATTGTTATTAACTTATAAAAGTACAATGCTGGCTTCAGACTTGATAGTTATCATGCTTTCTCTGAAATACCAGTTTGATATTGCCAAATTATTAATTCTTAGATATTACAAGTAAAACAGCATAGGATAGATTATGTCATTTAGTCCAGCCCTGCTTTGAGATGATGAAGCCCATTGGACTTCTCATTGTACATAAAATTAAACATGATCATGAGTGTTTGCAGAATTGAGACCTTAGATTTTAAACTATTTAGGACAGGGACTACAGGCAGTCCCCGACTTACGAGCCAGCCACCCGATGCCCCCCCAGCCCTCCCCCTCTTCCCGGGACCAGGCTTGCGGCTCCCGGGAGCTTGCCCGGGACCGCAAGAGGCGGGCCCCCGCCTGGTCTAGTGCGGACATCGTGGACCTCATCCATGACCTCCGCACTAGGCACAGGAAAGCGGCCGTCTAGGGCA